AATGTATGTAGAGTATAGGTGTACCTTGTGACAAATGTATGTAGAGTATAGGTGTACCTTGTGACAAATGTATGTAGAGTACATGTGTAGTGACAAATGTATGTAGAGTACAGGTGTAGTGACAAATGTATGTAGAGTACAGGTGTACCTTGTGACAAATGTATGTAGAGTACAGGTGTACCTTGTGACAAATGTATGTAGAGTACAGGTGTACCTTGTGACAAATGTATGTAGAGTACAGGTGTAGTGACAAATGTATGTAGAGTACAGGTGTAGTGACAAATGTATGTAGAGTACAGGTGTAGTGACAAATGTATGTAGAGTACAGGTGTACCTTGTGACAAATGTATGTAGAGTACAGGTGTAGTGACAAATGTATGTAGAGTACAGGTGTAGTGACAAATGTATGTAGAGTACAGGTGTAGTGACAAATGTATGTAGAGTACAGGTGTAGTGACAAATGTATGTAGAGTACAGGTGTAGTGACAAATGTATGTAGAGTACAGGTGTAGTGACCAATGTATGTAGAGTACAGGTGTACCCTGTGACAAATGTATGTAGAGTACAGGTGTAGTGACAAATGTATGTAGAGTACAGGTGTACCTTGTGACAAATGTATGTAGAGTACAGGTGTACCTTGTGACAAATGTATGTAGAGTACAGGTGTAGTGACAAATGTATGTAGAGTACAGGTGTAGTGACAAATGTATGTAGAGTACAGGTGTAGTGACAAATGTATGTAGAGTACAGGTGTACCTTGTGACAAATGTATGTAGAGTACAGGTGTACCTTGTAAAAATGTATTTAGAGTACAGGTGTACCTTGTGACAAATGTACGTAGAGTACAGGTGTACCTTGTGACAAATGTATGTAGAGTACAGGTGTAGTGACAAATGTATGTAGAGTACAGGTGTATTGACCTAGTGATTCATTGAACAGATGAAATAGAATTCATTGTGGTATGGACAGGTAGTCTCGCTAATTACGACAGTTTGGTGATAAGTGGGGGGATGGGGGGAAGGAGGGGGGTGGGGAGGAACGATAATTGCTAAAATAACTAGACATTAATTATGAATGGGCAGTCCCTTACGTTTATTCTCCCCCCGCCCCCCTTTCGATTTCTCTTTCTCTCAACAAATCAAACAAATAGTTTACGGTGGGAGGTTGTTGCAACGCTGTAGACCTCGTGATTTTTTGTTTGTACGGGGAGGGAGGAGGGAGGGGTAAAAGGGGAGGGGGAGGATGCTTGTCATGAATCTGATCACGAGGACAAGGGGACTATAAGAACAGACAGACATTTGTAGATCCGGGTCTCGTTTCCCCAATGGCCTTGACCCCAAATTGACCTCAACTCCACTAAATCAATTTGAGATTTAAATAATTAGATTTCCCGAATGTTGCACGGGCAGATAACCCATGAAAAGGGACATAACAATGATCTTTAAGACTATTAGCTCGACACATTCCCAGAACTAGAAAAAAAAACACCTGGTTATTTACGCAGAAAAACAATAATAAAACAAGACCCAGTTCTGAAGACTATAGATGGAAATTCTTGAACAATATTTAAATTTTTCCCCCTAAACAATGGATTTAAATTGATAATCAAGAGTAACATGACTGTATGGGTTAAAATGTCGTAGTTTGTGATGTTTGTGACATAACTGTATACCCAAATGTCGACAGACAATGTCATCAGCCAAATGTCGACATATAATGACATCAGCCAAATGACACCAGCCAAATGTCAACATGTAATGACATGAGCCAGGCTTGTGTAGAGGGACCAGATGTTTATTGTTGACATGGACGAAAAACGCATGTTAGGGTTTTCTACATTCCATTTCCGTGAAGTCGTATATTTAAAAAAACAACAACTATTAAAACTCGAACTTCAAAAAGTATTTTAAAAATTCGATATTTGCAATTATTATTTAAAGTTTTCGACTTGGGCTTTTGACCGTAACATATTTAACTGCCACTGAACGCCACCGTGACCTAATTAAGGTGTGTTTGTTTTCATTTACATTTAATCACCATCAGTGACCGAGAAAAAACAAATTGGCCTTCCCCTCTCCTCCTACCCAAGTATTGAGATTAAAAACAATCGTTTTGTACAAAAGGTATACAAAAAAAAAACATAATCAAAATTATGTCTAAGTTACAAAACACAATTTAAAAAAAATATTTTAACGGTTCATAGTCTAACCCGTTTAATGGCGGTTATATTGGCGATCATGTTATATAACTTGAAAAGAGTCTTAAATATGTTGATACGTGTGCTATCAATATGTTGAAACGTGTGTTAAGTATGGTGACAAGTATGTTATATATGTTGACATTGACAAGTGTGTTATATATGTTGATAACTGTGCTATAAATATGTTGACATTTGTGTTTTATATATGTTGACATCGACAAGTCTGATATATATGTTGACAAGTATGTTATATTGACATTGACACGTATGTTATATATATTGACATTGACAAGTATGTTATATATGTTGACATCTATCCGAGTGTTATATATGTTGCCTACGTAATAAAATGTTGACAAACGTTGACACAATATCAGATCAAATCTTGACTTCCTGAAGCATCAAATCTGTAGGTCAAGACTCCACCATTAAATTCTTGACAACGACGTCAACAAATGAACAAAAACCAAATGAAAGCCAACCCATAACAAAACATTTCTCTCTTCCTTCTACTTTGGCAAACGATCAGAATTTAATTTCGTTTTTTCTCTCCTTTAAATCTACAAATGTTCTTTAATTATTAGGTTAAATTCTACTTCCTTTCCCCCATTCACTGCGTATGTTTTCAACCCTTTAAATTTGATTTCATTTATGTTATTTCTTGACGGAGATGACATACAAATAAATATGGCTGACATGGGCTGTCTGAGGAAAAACAACATGGCGACAGTCCAGTTCTGACGTCAGCATACGTCATCACAGCAACAAAAACAATGGCGGCCATGCATGTATTTACGACCCCCTCAAACACACGTTGACAAATACATGCAAAACATTTGCTTGAATAAAACAATCACCAATCATGCACCAGTAAAAGAAATCATGGAGGTAGGCCAATTTTGAGCAGTATATAGGCTACTATACTTGCATGCGGTTGGGTAGTGGGCTATACTTTGAGCAGTATGTAGGCTACTATAGTTGCATGCAGTCATATTGGTTATTACAGTGCAGGATTGCATCATTACAAAATAACTTGGTTATAAAAAGCAAAAAAATAAATAATTCGCCATTAAAAAAATTCACAACGAGCCTTGCTGATCCATCGCCTACCATTATATCGAAGTTTATCCCATGTTTGTCACACCATGGGCGACTGTTATCCCAAGTTTATCCCATATCTTTCCCTAAATTCAGGCATTTCATGACTGTAAACACAGGTAAACACAGGGCGACTAGGATATTTCAGTTTCTCGTTTGTGTCACATTTGTGACTTTGTTCTCATGGGGAGGGGGGGTCACATTGGTGATACGTTCTCTTGGGGGGTCAAATTTGTGACCCACTTACACACCCACAAGCCTACCCCTCATCGAACACCCCCCTTCATTTAAATAACCCCACCACCCCACCCCCTCACCCTCACCCCCAAACCTGCACACCTTAACAGTTGAACCTAAAAAATGTGTATACCCCACCCCCCAAATTAATTATCTAACATCCGTCATCGACCCACCACAAATGACGTCTTCTTAAAACGCCTGCCTTTCTTTTCACTGAAGTTAATACCACTCTATTGACCCCCCAGTCCCACAACATTGAACTTAATACCATTGTATTGACCCCCCCCCCCCCACACCATTTAACTTAATACCATTGTATCGACCCCCCCCCCCCGCAGTCCCACACCATTGCACTTGTAGCATCAACCCCAGAGACAAGTAAACGACTAAATAAACCACTTATACAACTTTAAAATCTTAATACCACACCATCGGTTTCTCGCTCGATTCTACGTCTACTTCTGTTTGTTTACTACATAAAGAACTACAATGTAGCTTGATAGAATGAGCTGTTTACAGTTTTTACAAACCAAAAAATCACGGGTCTCTGTTTACCTTTGTGCAAATATCATGTTACCCAATGTGTAAATATCATGTTACCTAATGTGCAAATATCATGTTACCCAATGTGTAAATATCATGTTACCCAATGTGTAAATATCATGTTACCCAATGTGTAAATATCATGTTACCTAATGTGCAAATATCATGTTACCCAATGTGTAAATAGCATGTTACCCATGTGTAAATATCATGTTACCCAATGTGTAAATATCATGTTACCCAATGTGTAAATATCATGTTACCCAATGTGTAAATATCATGTTTACCAACGTGTAAATAACATGCTACACAACGTGTGAAAATCTCATGTTTACCGACATGTGAATAGCTCTATCAACGTGTGAATAGCTCTATCAACGTGTAAATAGCATGTTTACCAACGTGTTAATAGTTTGTTAAAAATGATTTTGATGAACGAATATCTTGACTTTATTTCATTAATCACCACAAAACTCTTCTCTCTTAATTAGCAGAGAGAGAAAGAAAGAGCAAGAAAGAGAAAGAGAGAGAGAGAGAGAAAGAGAGAGAGAAAGAGAGAAAGAGATATATAGAGAGAGAAATACTAGTTAAAATACCCGGCTTTGACGGAGGAGTTCGATAAAAATGTTGAACGATGGTTGGTTGGCTAGCAGATTGATCAAGTATTGCGGATTAGCAAGGCTCTGTGACGTAATCATCTGTGATTTTGATTTGATATTTCACAACCACAAAAAGTTGTGTTTGTTGTTTATTGGGAAATCGGCAATTTAAAAAAATGTAAAACATGGATTCAGCGTACTGCAATAGCGATTAATACATTGCAAATAAAAATTATTTAAATTAAAATAAAAAAAAAAACAGCTCTGGGTATTTGACAAAATAAAAAACAAACAAACAAACAAACAAACAAACAACTCACCCTCTTTCTTGGAACGGGAGGCTAAAAATAGACAGAGGTGGTGTAACATACTCACGACGACAAAATCTAATGAGGGGCTGACTTAAAAAATGAGGGGCTGACTTAAAAAATGAGGGGCTGACGTAAAAAATGAGGACTAAAAAAAATCACAAAATGATAACGAAACAAAACGACTCCCAACTACTGAATTAAACGAGGCTGTGTAGGACTTGGGTCAGGAAAAAAACAAACTATTGTGGGACTAGAGGACCTAGGACGTAGTGGTACACCCAGGGGCGTGGCTACGGTAGGGGGGGAAGGGGGGTGATACACCCCTGGTAGAAGATGTAACGAATGGGGAAGGAGATTAGTAGTTATATAAAGGCGTCTTTATTTAATGTCCTCCTATATATAACGCCTTATTGTATTCAATAGGGTCGTGTATATATTGGGTCTCATTATATAAGGGTGTTATGTATTAAATCTGTCTTGGGGGGGGGGGGGGTCGTCCATAAATGACGTCACACTCGTATGGGGAGGGGGGGGGGTCCGTAATTTTGTGACGGTGTGTGACGAGGGAGGGGGCGGGATCAGATGGCGCGACGTCACACTTTTTCATTATAAAAAAGCAATGTTAGAAAACGAATTTTTGACGTTATTTCGTGTTTTAGAAAACTGTTTTAATAAATTACAATAGGAATTGATTACAATACTCTATTTTGACAGAGTTCAGACAAGATTTTGGAAAAATATCGATGTTTTAAGAAAAATTCAACTGCATTTCGAGGGGGGGGGTTGTAGACTGAGGTGTGACTTCATTTTAGGGGGGGGGGGGTCTGGCTTTTTGTGACGATGTGTGGCGGAGGGGAGGGGGGCAGGTAAAAACCATTTTAAAAAGCGTGACGTCATTTATGAATGACCCCATGTATGTAAAGGTGTCATGTATATGAGAGGATGTTGTATATAAAGGTAAGGTGATTATGTAAAAAGGTTGTCATATATATATATATATATTTTATATATATATATATATATATATATATATATATATATATATATATATATAAGGGTATTATGGATTAAGTCTTAATGTTATATTAATATATTAATGCATATAAGAGTGTCATTTTTATGATGGCGTCAGGTAAATAAGGCCGTATAGTTATGAGGGTGTCGTGAATTAAGACCGTCTTGTATATAGAACATTAGTGAGGGTGGCGAGGGGTGGGGAGGTAGCAGCCACGCCCTGGGTGGAACCAATCCTCTACCCTAGCACTTTTAGTGGACTACTCTAGTCACTAGACACGCCCTACCATCACACATCAACACCCACACACAGTGGTCACCATCACAACACAAACAGAATGATGCACATGGTTTTAGGCATTAATGTCACTATGTTTATACATCGTTTTTAATGTGTGTGGGGAGGGAAGGGGGGGGGGGGGGCGAGAAGGGGTTGGTGGTGGTGGTCCCTCAGCTTAGGAAGATGAGCTTAGAAAAAATTATTCATGTTTTAACATACACTAACTAGGACATGTGATAGTCATTGTAAACTAATTCCACCATTTCTGTATCCGAATGTGGAGAACAATGTAGCTTTTGCCATTGTTTATTTTTAGCGTCTTTTGTCACACCCCCCCCCCCCATCTCTCTCCCCCCCCCCCCTCCCCCCACAAAAAAAAAGAAATGAGTGAGTATACGCTTCTCTAATGATGGAAATAATTCAATAATTCACATTTTTGTTATAACCTGGTGAAACACACATGAAACAGGAAATGACAAATTTACTTGATATAAAGAGAAAAAAAAAGACGATAATTTTAGTAAAGTCAGTAGACGATGACGAAATAATGAGAAAAATATGACGACACAGTTTAGTGTGGTTTCAGCGGTTCTCACGTTATTTGAAATAAAATGTTTGATCAAATTTGAAGGAAAATTGTTTGCGTAGTAATCTTTTGCGTTACAACATGGCGCTATGTAGCTCATTACAATTAATTATAGACGGTAATTAATGAAAAGGTGAAAAGTAATTTACATATTCACCCCTACATGATTGCAATTTGTCTTAAATTTATTAGGACTACAGTAAAATTATAAATTTAAAAAGATTTACTTCTACAAGTGGCGTAAACAATATTTGCTGATAGTGTGAGAACCGCTGGTGAGGATGAAAACATTGAAAAAGTTGAAAAAGTTAACAGTGATGGATATCTAGGAGTGACTGGTGCAGATGGATGAAAGATGTTTAGTAGACACATCACACATCTGGTGTGGGTGGGTGGGGGGGGGGGGGGGGAGGGGGTCACACAGCTGATGTGAGTAGTGGGGGGGGGGGAGACACACACGTGTGGACAGGTGCACAGATTTACCTCTTCAAATGCCCGTATCTTATCCCTGACGCTGGTGCTCCGCTCCCCCGTGGCGCCCTGCTCCTCCTCCACCGAGGCCGACCGAGGGCGCGCCTGAGGAGGCTCGGGGGTGGCCGAGGGCTGGGCGCCGGTAAACGGGGCCGAGCTGCTCCGGGCGCGGCTCGGGTACTCCCCACTGACCGGGTAGGTGAAGATCTCCGTGGGCTGGGGCGGCGCCATCTTGGTGGGAATGACGTCAAACCTGGAGAAGTCTTTGGCCGTGCCTAAAGTTTTGGTCGTCTGCTCCCCGAGTCTGGCGCCCTTCTGCTCGTGCAGGTAGTCCTGGGTCGTCAGGCCCTCAACGTTCTCGTACAGCGGGCTCGTCCGGCCGTTCATCTTTTGCTCGTCAAATTTCCGGATGCTTTTCCGCGGCGAGATCGGGGGCCGGACGACTTCCTGCTGGGCGGAGTTTGTCTGAGGGGCGTGGTCCTGCCTGAGGGGCGGGCTGTAAATCATTTTGTTGGGTGGGGCGTATGACGTGTCGCAGGTCACGGGGGCGTACGTGACCTTGGCATTGTCGTAAGGACTGACAGCCCTGTAGGGGGAGCTGACGTACGAGCCTCGAACTGATTCTTCTAGCTCCCGTACGGCGCACTCCTCATCGAAATCCGTGCCCGGGGAGGACGGGGAGTGCGGTTTGGGAGGGGAGGAGTCTGAATCCGGAGGCGTGACCGGCGAGGGGAAGGCGTAGAGATCCTGGTCAGGGGAGGAGCTCGGCGAGACGGACGTGCTGTCGGAGAACTCACGCTTGATGCTTTTCGTCTCCGGTGTGGGTGGGGACTCCATGACCTTGTAGTGGGGGGACACGGACTGCTCCTCCGCCTCGATGTGCTGGATGAGGATGGGGCTGGGTTTCGCCTTCAGGTCCTTGGCTTTCTTCTTCTCCACCGAGTCTTGCCGGGGTAAAAACTTCCCAGCCGGCGCGTCTTCGAACGAGCCCTCTCTACTCCCGGGCTCGCTGGGGCTCTCTGTCCTTATACTGGGGATGGGCCGCTTGTCTGGCCCGTCGAACGAGGAGGAGAAAGCCGGAGGGGGAGATAGGACTAGTTCCGGATCGGGTAATCTCCGTTTCGGTTTGGGCGGCGGGATGGGTTTCATGTTAGCCGCGCCACGTTTGACGATGTTTTCCATGTCTTCGGCGATTTTGTGAATCTCGTCCGTGATGAGCGCCTCGAAGTCACGGAGGTGTTTGGAGCCCTGTTCCTCCGTCAGCGCCCCCTGCCTGAGGGGCGGCTGGAATGCTGAAACTGTGGTGCTGATGCAGGGCGCCGAATGGGGGAGGGTGGTCGTCTGGCTGGTGCAGGAGAAAAACGGGGCGTCGCTGGCCGCGTCGTGTATGTCGATGTCGTCTGCTAGCCTGTCGGACAGGTCTGACACGTGCTTGACGTCACTTCCTAGTCTGCTGATGTCCTCGAAGTTCCCGCAGCGTCTGAGCGTGCTGCTGTAGGTGAAGCTCTCATCCTCCATCCCGTCGTTGTCGTCGTTGTCGTAGTCGTCGTACTCCTCGTTTAGCTGCTGCTTCAGCTTTTTGGCGGACGGGGGAGGGGGGATGCGGGGGATGACTGACGGCAGGGGCGGCTTTATGGGCGGGGTGGGTTTGGCCTCGAAGAAAGATTTGGCCGTCGCTGGCCCGGAGTCGTCGTCGTACTCGTCATCGGCGGCGTTGATGGACCTCTGTCTCTCGAGTTCCTCCATCTGTTTGGCCAACATGTCCTCCTGCTCGGCCTCCTCCACGGAGGGGGACACGTCCAGGATGGGGGAGAGGTCAATCACAGGTGACCAGTCGGTCGATGGCGGCCGGGCTTTCTGTCGTTTCGACCCCTGGAAGTCGATGGATTTGGCCGAGGGGTCCGCCAGCTCCACGTCCTCAATGTCCTCCGTGGACGGCTGGGCGTTGTCATAGTAACCGGGGGAGACGGGGGAGGAGCAGCTGGAGTCGGCGCTGGAGTCGGGGCTGAGGGGCTCCCCCATGCCGAGGTGGGAGGAGGCGTGAGGTAGCAGGTTGGGCGGCGAGACGCTCATGCAGGTCAGGTTGGCGGTGCTGTTGGCGATGGTGGCGGCGTAGGTGGCCAGATCCATGACGGGGGCGGAGTGCGACATGGAGAAGGTGGGCTGGAAGTCGTTATGGTGGGGCTGCGTGCTGATGCTGGTGGGGGGCTTGGCCCGGGGCGTCGGGATGTCGAACGGCACCGTCTCGCCCATGATGGTCAGGATGGAGTCCTTGATCTGGTCGGGGGAGATGGGGGACGGCTTCTGGGGCGCCTGAGACCCCGTCACGCCGTTGTCTAACAAGATCGTCTGCACCGTGGAGTCTCCGTACAGTTCCTCCAGGGAGAGCTGTCGGGACGGCGGGGAGATATCCGTGTAGGTGAAATGGTTCTTCTTCTGCTCTTTCGGACTGAGGGACCCTCGCCTCTTCCCCGGGTAGGAATCCCTCCTCCTGGGGGAAAATGGCGGGCTCTCGAGGCCCTCCCTCCAGCTGGGGCTTCTAGGAGGCGTCGGGCTATTTATAGCATGGCTGTCTGTTAAATCATGCGTGGCTGAGAAAGGCGCATCGGCGGGAAAATCCTCAGCAGAAGGCGGGTGTTTTTTCGTCTTTTGATCAGCCGACAAATACGCCGAAAACGTCGTCAGCGCATGCGCAGGGGCGACCGCCTGATGCGCGTTTGTTTTCCCCGCGGTGGATCCTACTTTCGTTTTCACCTCCGGGGCGGATGTCTTCTCTTTGGCCTCGCTACTTTCGGTTTCAGACTTCCGGTCGCCGCTCCCGGCCCCGTCCTCCTCGTCTGAGGAGGTGTGGCTGTGAGAGCGGGACAAGGTCAAGGATTTGGGCCGGTGCTTTTGCCGCTTGCCGTCCTTGCGGGTACTTACGCTGGTCACGACGGCGTCGCGGCAACTCTCGTCGGTGCTGGAGCCCCCGTCGGGCCGACTCCGCTCCGACGCCAGCTCGTCAAAGTCGAGGTCAGAGGTCAGATCGGAGAACTCGTCGGACTCGCTTTTGGGCAGGCTGGCACCAGGACCTGCAGAGGTCAAGTGATCTAATTAGCGCGTGACATTCATTTATTTAATTAGCGCGTGACATTCATTTATCTAATTAGCTCGTGACATTCATTTATCTAATTAGCGCGTGACATTCATTTATCTAATTAGCGCGTGACATTCATTTATCTAATTAGCGCGTGACATTCATTTATCTAATTAGCGCGTGACATTCATTTATCTAATTAGCGCGTTACATCATTTATCTAATTAGCGCGTGACATCATTTATCTAATTAGCACGTGACATTCATTTATCTAATCAGCTCGTGACATTCATTTATCTAATTAGCGCGTGACATCATTTATCTAATTAGCACGTGACATTCATTTATCTAATCAGCTCGTGACATTCATTTATCTAATTAGCGCGTGACATTCATTTATCTAATTAGCTCGTGACATTCATCTATCTAATTAGTTAATGAAATAAAACGATTAGTTTTTAAATCAATGAATCTAATTAACAGTATGACTAAAATCAATTAAAGCAATAATTTCCGTTAAGTAATTCTGAAACGTTTTGAATATTTCTGATTGATTTTTTAAAACTTAATTTCTCTGACTGAATTTTACTAGATTTTTTTTTCTAACTGAATTTTATTTTTTACTGAATATACTTTCAAAAAAAAAACTTGCAAACTTATTTACTTTACCAACCGTTTAACTTAATTAGTCACTAGATGATTAGTGAAAGCAAAGCAATTTTTAAAAAATCCAACTAAACGCTGATTGTTCCCTCACAGACATCATCATTGCCCAGCTAATTACTAATTAAAATCGCCAATAATTTGAGTCATTGAAAAAAGCTACCATAAATTATACTGGATTTTAATTAAGTTTGTCCTAAGTAATTTAATTACTGGTAATTGAAACTTCTGTTACAACACTGTTTTTCTACAGCTAGCGAAAGTAATACATGAAGAATGGAAAGCGAATACTGAAAGGCGAAAACGTAATTAACAAAATTGACAAGCATATATTTGTTGAATAAAAATAAAGATTAAATGTTTGAAAAAAAAAACAAGTATTGACGTAAGAACATAAAGTTTAGATGAGCGGATGATAAACTTGACACTTTGACAACTAAACTTTATACGTCGTCGTTAACTTTGTTAACAACGACAACTGGCTACTGAGGGAAAACCATCTTGAGAAAATGTCACAAGGTGACAACGTTACAAATGTCAACTTCAATTCATTAATCTCTTGCATTCACCGCATATGGTGTATGTAATTCACTTGGAATATACTCCACCCGTTACTTTATAAGCAAGGTTCCTTTTCAAACCTGACGCTCTATGGGCAAATGAAGTAGAGTTAGCCTGCCTGCGACCTCAGCATATGAAAGGATAATGTGATCAGCACTATGCCCAGCCACCTTTACTTTCCCTAATAGGTACCCATCAGAGATGGGTGGATTCAGGGACGGTCTACTGACTTGATTCGAACTCGCGTCTTCCGGGTTAGCAATCTGGCTCTCTACCGCTAGGCCACTCCCTCCCCCAATTACTTTCTACTGCAGCACAAATGCACTGCACCATACATCACCATCGACTCTACTTCCGTCTACAACATCTTGAAACCATTCCACTGACATCATTAGCATATGCACCTGCTTCTCTGGTCTAGACCTATATAGCTATCATGCAGGGTTGAAAATAAAGCACCCAATTAAAAAAAACAACAACAAAGCATGCAGTATAGAGATTCAGGCCCTACCCCACACCATCAGCATATTAAGGCATATATAGCTTTTTCTATGAGAACCCTTAATTTTTACTACCCCCCCTCTCCAATCGGAAAAAAGTTATACAACCAGTTTTATTAAAGTTAGACGTGTAGCAAATCATATAGATCACAAGCGTACGATGCAACATAAGGGTGTGTGTATTTATTTAGATATGACAAGTTTTTCACAAGAACAGAAAAAAAATGTAAATGTTTTTTGTCCGAATCAAGCACAAATTAAAACATTAAACTAAGCAAGAAAAACATACGAGATAAACAAAATAACAAACTGGCTCGACCAAATACCGACATCTAACAGACCTGAAATCGTGAAGTCAAACACCAAAAAACCGGCATCACTACAACACTGACAAGCATGCTACAACACGACTCATGCTAATTGGAGAAAAAAAAATGGACGAGCAAAAAACAAAACTTCACCACAGGGTCCCATCATGTATAGCAGTATCCCTGTGTTAGTTTGGGGAGAAAAAATAGTTCATTCAAGAGAATTAAAATAGTAACAGAATAGTAACGTAAAAATATTTCATTCAAGAGATTCAAAATAGTAACAGAATAGTAACTAAAGAATGTTTCATTCAAGAGATTCAAAATTATATAACAGGATCCCTATGTCGGATAATGGAGAAAAAAAATTTCATTCAAGACAGTCAAAATAATGAGTGTGTAGTAACGTAAAATATTTCATTCAAGAAAATCAAAACAAAGAAAATACAAATCAGCCACGAGAGAGGTGATGTGTGGTTGGAAACATTGCTAACATGTATATTTTGATACACACTTGACAGAATCAGTGTTAAATTATATTTGATTTTGAAAACAAACTTTAACTAAACCGACATCTGACATGCGTGTGTGTGAGTTCTTTCAATCGTGAGACATTCCATGCTGTTTGTGAGCCGGGTAATGATCACATTTTTAAACAATACATTATATAGGCACATATAGGGCCTATCTTTCATAGCTGGCACCTAAAGGGCCTATCTTTCATAGCTGGCACCTGTATCTATAATATCTATCATAGCTGGCACCTATATCTATCATCTGTGTAGCTAGCAGATTTCAATTAAAAAAAAGACAACTAGATTTTAGGACAAAAACTAATAAAACGATTATTTAGACATTAGTTTGTAGATTGTGTGTGCTGAATTAGATAAGTGTGATTCATGACGCAATAAAATTATTTCTATTTAAATATATTTCCATTACAAAGCAATTCTAGACAATGTTTTACAGCCGTGGATTGAAATAGCAAACAGCCATACTACAAAAAGCTACGTGCATTTAGATAAATAGATACAAGCATAATTGGATGGGTCATAATTTCAAGGATAAAAAAAATAATTAAATAATTTAGGAAGTATTTTCTAGGATTACAATCAACGAAGTATTTTCTGAGATTAAAATCTTGTGTTTTTATTCCAGTCCCAACATCATATTCTACCATCCCAACATCATATTCTACCACCCCACCATAATATTCTACCATCCCAACATCATATTCTACCATCCCAACATCATATTCTACCATCTCAAAATCATACTCTAATATCCCACCATCATATCTAATGTCCCAAAATCCTATTCTAATATCCCAACATCATATTCATCCCAACATCCTATTCTACCATCCCAACACCATATTCTACCATCCCAACACCATTGTCTACCACCCCAACAACATAACCATCTGTTTACACTGACACATCACCATCACATACCCTTGTCCTGTCTGTCCACACACAAACACATCCGTCTGTCTAAATTGCTCTCTATCATTTTTATTGGGCATTTTTTCTGGCTAGCAGTATCGATTACAATATTTTACCCATGCTGACAGCCTTATTTTTAGTGTATCGATATCGCCCTGAATTAACCAACCCCAAATTGGCAGGATTCTAGTGTGCCAGATATTCAGACTAGATTTTGGTCTGGTTTGGACAAACTGGCAAGCTAGTCAGTCGTGTATCTGGCCACACCAAATCAAATGTGTTTTGACAGTTTTGTAGATCCGTCCCCATATTGTCAATAGTGACCCAAATACCCACAGTTAACTAAAACGATGATTTAAACAAATCTGATGATTTACTTGATAGAAAACTCGAACTGATCGGGTTTTGGCTCAAAGAGTGACCAATGTGATGTCACACATCACAAAACAAAACTCTGACCATCCGTATCCAGTAGTTCAGCATGTTTTATCAATAACTGGAACAATCTGGCTATGGTCTTGTATTACTATTAAAAATCTGGCCATTTGTCTGTCTTGACCAGAACATCTGACCATATGTGTGTTGCTGCTGAATTAGCAGAGAGCGTAATCGATTACTTGCATATTTGATTCCAGCTTCTTGAAGAATTTGTTTACGAATACAGCGTTGGAAGTTGAAATAAATATGATGGAGTGGGGGGGGGTGTAGCGTGGAAATACCAGCAGATTGTTACATCAGATTGTTACAAGCCCACTGACCAGCAAATGTTACAAGCCCACTGACCAGCAAATGTTACAAGCCCACTGACCAGCAAAAGTTACAAGCCCACTGACCAGCATATGTTACAAGCCCACTGACCAGCATATGTTACAAGCCCACTGACCAGCATATGTTACAAGCCCACTGACCAGCATATGTTACAAGCCCACTGACCAGCATATGTTACAAGCCCACTGACCAGCATATGTTACAAGCCCACTGACCAGCATATGTTACAAGCCCACTGACCAGCATATGTTACAAGCCCACTGACCAGCATATGTTACAAGCCCACTGACCAGAAAATGTTACAAGCCCACTGACCAGCAAAAGTTACAAGCCCACTGACCAGCATATGTTACAAGCCCACTGACCAGCATATGTTACAAGCCCACTGACCAGCATATGTTACAAGCCCACTGACCAGAAAATGTTACAAGCCCACTGACCAGCAGATTGGTAAAAAGCCCACTGACTATGAGATTGTTACAAGCCTACTAAAGCAGGAAGCTGAAGCCTAATTACCAAGGTGCACCTTAATAGAAACATCTAAATAACGTGATGCCATTCAGACCCCCATCACCCATGATTAGAGTACATCATACATTTCTAGTTATCAGAAATTTAATTATCTATACTTAATTTAATAGTCTTTTTTTTTTCATAAATTTTTTATTTAGAATTTTAGCTCTCAATCCTTAATCTTTATACTAAATTAAAACAAGAAGCAAGACTTAGTAAACGTCATTACTTCCAATTTAAAGAAACAACATTAGGTATGAAGTATAATGAATTACTTTAATTCATTCAAATTTCACTCTAGCTGTTGTAAGCTACTGTCACTATTAGAGAACAGACTGCCGTATCCTTTGTATCGCATATGGTGCGCATGTACTTGTTGTCGTGTCGTGTGTATATGTCGTCGTGTCGTGTGTACTTGTCGTCGTGTCGTGTGTACTTGTCGTGTCGTGTGTACTTGTTGTGTCGTGTGTACTTGTCGTGTCGTGTGTACTTGTCGTGTCGTGTGTACTTGTCGTCGTGTCGTGTGTACTTGTTGTGTCGTGTGTACATGTCGTCGTGTCGTGTGTACTTGTTGTGTCGTGTGTACTTGTTGTGTCGTGTGTACTTGTCGTGTCGTGTGTACTTGTCGTGTCGTGTGTACTTGTTGTGTCGTGTGTACTTGTCGTGTCGTGTGTACTTGTCGTGTCGTGTGTACTTGTCGTCGTGTCGTGTGTGCTTGTCGTCGTGTCGTGTGTACTTGTCGTGTCGTGTGTACATATCGTCGTGTCGTGTGTACATGTCGTGTCGTGTGTACTTGTCGTGTCGTGTGTACTTGTCGTCGTGTCGTGTGTATATGTCGTCGTGTCGTGTGTACTTGTCGTGTCGTGTGTACTTGTCGTGTCGTGTGTACTTGTCGTGTCGTGTGTACATGTCATCGTGTCGTGTGTACATGTCGTCGTGTCGTGTGTACTTGTCGTGTCGTGTGTACTTGTCGTGTCGTGTGTACTTGTTGTGTCGTGTGTACTTGTCGTGTCGTGTGTACTTGTCGTGTCGTGTGTGCTTGTCGTCGTGTCGTGTGTGCTTGTCGTCGTGTCGTGTGTACTTGTCGTCGTGTCGTGTGTACTTGTCGTGTCGTGTGTGCTTGTCGTCGTGTCGTGTGTGCTTGTCATCGTGTCGTGTGTACTTGTCGTGTCGTGTGTACATGTCATCGTGTCGTGTGTACTTGTCGTGTCGTGTGTACTTGTCGTGTCGTGTGTACTTGTCGTCGTGTCGTGTGTACTTGTCGTCGTGTCGTGTGTACTTGTCGTCGTGTCGTGTGTACTTGTCGTCGTGTCGTGTGTACTTGTCGTCGTGTCGTGTGTACTTGTCGTCGTGTCGTGTGTACTTGTCGTCGTGTCGTGTGTACATGTCGTCGTGTCGTGTGTACTCACCTTTCATCTTGTTCTGCTCGTACACGTGTCGGGCAAACTCTGAGTTTTGGCTGGAGGCCAGGGATAGGCTGCTGAGGTCCATGCTGAGACCCATCCCTAGGCCGCTGTCTCCCCCACACCTCGACCCCTCGCGGCTCTCCCGGCCCTCGCTCGTGGGCTCGCTGTCCTCCCTGGGCAAGACATCATTACACATTACATACTGCATCATTACACATTACATAGTGCATCATTACATATTACATAGTGCACCATTACACATTACACAGTGCACCATTACATATTACATACTGCACCATTACATCATTACACATTACATAGTGCACCATTACATATTACATAGTGCATCATTACACATTACATAGTGCATCATTACACATTACATACATTTGTCGCCATTTCACATCATATACATATTTCAACATTACATATTACATATATCACCATAACACATTATATATTGCACTATTACATAGTACATAGCACATATTGCACCATTACACATTACAAAATAGCAACATAACATATTACACTAATCATGTGGAAAAAGTACACATGTAATCCATTATGCACACTATGATTTAACAAAGTTTTTCCAGAGAACATTATAATGTGGTTGTATGCTATTCCCTAACATGAAACAAAAACCATTGTTGACGTGAGCGCTAGTTGGTCTATGTGATGTAACTTAAAGTGATTGAGATGTCATTTTGGCTGTCCTTTAGGGGGGTGGGGGGAGGGGGTGAGAAAGTTTAACTCACCCTAACATTTGCCTGCCTACATGACAGATTGCTGTATGTAAACCCTCTATTGTACCATCCAACACATCTCATAGTAAAGTTCATTTTTCGAAGCTGACGGTTCATGGAGTAGAGTTCACCTGTTTCTGTGACCTCGGCATATGAAGAGATAGTGTGGTCAGCACTATGACAAGCCGCCTTTGCTTTCCCTATGGTGAGTTAGGTACCCATAAAAGATGGGTGGACTCAGGGACGTTCAACTAACTTGAACCCGTATTCGAACTCGAGATTTTTTAGTTAGCCATCTAGCGCTCTACTACTAGACCCACGCCGTAACACATCACATTAAAAAAAAAACCTTTTGCTCGTATAGTATTCTTCCCCATGTAATTACTTTAACCTTTGTGTTAAATTTTTGTTGGCCAATCTAGGACAAGTTTGTCCACATCGTAAGTCAAGCTAATCTGGCCAATAAAATATTTAGTCACTCACTACAAGTTTGTCGTACAACCCCCCCCCCCTCTCTATAGTTCCCACACCCCCACACCAAAATATCGTGTAAGAAATCACTGAAGCCACCAGCAGTGGTCTCACTAATCCGTGCCAGCGGATTAACGCTAATCCTATCGGTCTCTGGGTGACAAATATTTTCTCCCCTCGCGATATTTGATAGCTGGGACAACTCCAGCGTGTGTTCATTAGAGGGATTATCTCCCCTCACACGGATTAAAGGGGTGGACTCATATGTAGGGCGGGGGAGGGAGGGGGCGATATTTGATAGCTGGGACAACTCCAGCGTGTGTTCATTAGAGGGATTATCTCCCCTCACACGGATTAAAGGGGTGGACTCATATGTAGGGCGGGGGAGGGAGGGGGCGATATTTGATAGCTGGGACAACTCCAGCGTGTGTTCATTAGAGGGATTATCTCCCCTCACACGGATTAAAGGGGTGGACTCATATGTAGGGCGGGGGAGGGAGGGGGCGATATTTGATAGCTGGGACAACTCCAGCGTGTGTTCATTAGCGGGATTATCTCCCCTCACACGGATTAAAGGGGTGGACTAATATGTAGGGCGGGGGAGGGAGGGGGCGATATTTGATAGCTGGGACAACTCCAGCGTGTGTTCATTAGCGGGATTATCTCCCCTCACACGGATTAAAGGGGTGGACTAATATGTAGGGCGGGGGAGGGAGGGGGAGTTCGATAGAGGAACAGGGTAGGGATGGTTGAAAATGGTGAGATGAGGGTAGGGTGGGGTGGCGTATGACAAGCGGCCAGTGTCAGGACGAGCGTACTGGTCATCAAACATGTTCACAGAAGTAGAAACACAGGATTATGTCGCACAGTTACGTTGCTACACTAGTGACAACTCCCCCTCCCCCCCCCCCTCAAGATAAAAAAAAAGTAAAGTTAAGTTCCCTTTTCAAACCTGACGGTCTATAGCTCAAGTGAAGCTGGACTGCTAATCCGTGGGTCTCGAGATCGAATCCGGGTTCAAGTCAGTAGACTGTCCCTGAGTCCACCCAACTCTGATGGGTACCTTACTCATGCTAGGGAAAGTAAAGGCGGCTGGGCTTAGTGATGACCACACTCTCTTCATATGCCGAGGTCACAGAAACAAGTGAACTCCCCCCCCCCCCCCCCCAAGATGTTACTCCAGTAACACCACCCCCTTCCTTCACTAGTGCCACCCTTAAGGTACTACAGTGGCTAGTAATAGATTGGAATAGGGTAAGCCTTGAACTTTATTGGGATATGGTTAGCCTTGACCTTTAGACTACCATAACATTGGATGATTTACTTCATGTAACAGCTTCAATGCCTGCTCTAAGAAACATATCTTTGTCTCTTTTACAAGTATCTCTACCCTGCCTTCCACCCCTACTTTCTACTTTCTGCTTTCTACTCTCTACTTGCTTCTCCATACTTTCTTTTCCGTGCTTCCTTCTCTATACTTTCTACTTTAATTTTGGTGAGCCTAGAGACATTCTCACACTTTATCTGACCCTGTCACCCCTATAAACAAGAGAATGGACTGACCTGGACTCCCGACTCCCTCTGCTATCTCTACTTGAAGCGTACGAGGCGTTGGATACCATGGACGCGTCCATGCTGGAGGTAAGTTGGTTGTCACGCTGTGGAAAAACATGGTGGGTGCAATCTCTGGGTGGGTTTTAGTTTAAACACATTGTCCACGTTTAACACATTGACCATCTTAAACACATTGACCACATTAAACACATTGATCACTATAAACACATTGGCATTCTTAAACACATTGACCACCATAAACACACTGACCAATATAAACACATTGACCAATATTTACCATCTTAAACACATTGACTATCTTAAACACATTGACCACTATAGACGATTTTAATAAACACATTGACCACATTAAACACATTGACCCACCTTCAACCCATTGACCAAGCATGCCCCACCTTCTCAAGGAGCTGGCTGCCCGACCCCCCTGTGATGACCCACCTTCTCATGGAGCTGGCTGCCCGACCCCCCTGTGATGACCCACCTTCTCATGGAGCTGGCAGCCCGACCCCCCTGTGATGACCCACCTTCTCATGGAGCTGGCTGCCCGACCCCCCTGTGATTTGCTTCTCCAGGGGCAGCTCCGCCTCTGGGTGGTAGCCGTGGTACCACATGCCGGTCGACATCATCAGGCGACGCCTTTTCTCACACACCACACACACCCACTCCTGGATCTGTGGGGAGAAGATGTGCACATTGTGGGGAGATGTTTACAGTGTGGGGAGATGTTTACAGTGTGGGGAGATGTTTACAGTGTGGGGGGATGTTTACAGTGTGGGGAGATGTTTACAGTGTGGGGAGATGTTTACAGTGTGGGGAGATGTTTACAGTGTGGGGGAGATGTTTACAGTGTGGGGAGATGTTTACAGTGTGGGGAGATGTTTACAGTGTGGGGAGATGTTTACAGTGTGGGGAGATGTTCATATTATGGGGAGATGTCTACATAATAGAGATGTTGTTCACAATATAGAAAGATGTTCACAATACGAGAGGATGTTCTAAATATAGGACAATGTTCACATTATGGGAAGACGTTTTAAATATGTGAAGATGTTCCCAATGTAGGTGAAGACAACACATCTCCCTAATAAACCCGAACCCTCTTGTTTACTACAACTTTTACAGCTAAAAGACGTTCTTAGACTTTTCTTTTTGCAAACAGCTCGAAAAAAAATCACCTTATAATCCACTCTTAAATTCACAACCAACTCTAAAGCAATAAATAAATAACAAATGACAAAAATCTGGCAAACAATTTGATCTCACTCCCAGCCGAATCAATCCCACAATCCCCCCCCCCCACAAAGTACCAAGCCCGCTACAATCTTAAATTGATGGCCCTATCGTAAAGTGCTGAAACTCCCCCCCCCCCCTCCCACCAGTATCAGGACCAGACTTGCAGGCTGATCCACCCAACCCCCCCCCCCCCCCCCACCAGTATCAGGACCAGACTTGCAGGCTGATCCACCCAAACCCCCCCTCCCACCAGTATCAGGACCAGACTTGCAGGCTGATCCACCCAAACCCCCCCTCCCACCAGTATCAGGACCAGACTTGCAGGCTGATCCACCCAAACCCCCCCCTCCCACCAGTATCAGGACCAAACTTGCAGGCTGATCCACCCAAACCTAATCAGCCGATCAAAACATACTCTCGACTAGACGACACCAAAATAGATTTTTTTTCCAGCACAAGTGGATTGAAAGAAATCTCGGACTCACGGAATGTTCTTTTGGTCAGGAGGGTTTAATGTTGAGGGCTGTCTATAAATACAAGGCTTTTTCTTGACAATAGGTCCAAAATACGAGGCTGTTTCTTATTAATAGATCCAAAATACAAGGCATTTTCTTATTAATAGATCCAATACGAGGCTTTTTCTTATTAATAGATCCAAAATACGAGGATTTTTCTTATTAATAGATCCAAAATACGAGGATTTTTTTTACAATAGGTCCAAAATAGAAGGCTGTTTCTTGTTATTGTCAATACAAATCATGCCCATTTAATAACTGAATAGGTTCTTTTAAATTACGTTGAGAGATTATTGAAGGCTTAGATCATACTAAGGTTTAAGTAAAGCTTGGTATAAAATTAGTTTTAAGCTCGTACGCTACAGTCGGATGTAAGATTAAGGCAAACATGCTCAGGATTAAGGCTGACTTAATGCAAAACTTTATGTAAAATTGGAGTATTTGTTACGCTTACGAGTGCTGGCTTTAAAACTAATCCACATCATAAGCTATAGTTGGATGTAAAAATTAGGGACAACATGACGTCACGTTTCTACAATGACGCAGGCAGTTAGTTAGGGTTGGGTAAGCTGCTGTGGTGTCCCTATCTCTGGTCAGCTAAACTATGCCATCATTAGCCAGTTTCTAGCTAGAGCTGTCGCTGGGAAGGGGAGGGAACTGTTGACTGACTGGCAGACGTCTTCAGTCGCCCAGACGACATTGGTTTCCTTGCCTCATCATTTGGTCGTCTGGTTGTTGGGTCAGCCGTAACCATGGTTACATGGGGCAAACAAAACTAACGGTCGATAACAAACTAAACACATCCATCCATCCATCCATCCATCCATCCATCCATCCATCCATCCATCCATCCATCCATCCATCCATCCATCCATCCATCCATCCATCCATCCATCCATCCATCCATCCATCCATCCATCCATCCATCCATCCATCCATCCATCCATCCATCCATCCATCCATCCATCCATCCATCCATCCATCCATCCATCCATCCATCCATCCATCCATCCATCCATCCATCCATCCATCCATCCATCCATCCATCCATCCATCCATCCATCCATCCATCCATCCATCCATCCATCCATCCATCCATCCATCCATCCATCCATCCATCCATCCATCCATCCATCCATCCATCCATCCATCCTTCTATCCATCCACCCATCCATCCATTAAGCCCATCCATCACTCCAATTATTCCACGAAATTTTAAAGGCTAACTTACAAATAAAAACTACAAAGTCTATTTAACAAATTGTTCATGCCGCCGTCACGTCAAATCGCCATCTTCCATCACCCACAATCTAAACACACCCCGCTCTTTACCCTCCACCCAGAGCTTCCCCACCCCCTGTTGGATTTTTTACCAAAGGTCAGTCACTTGGTGAAAAATTCCTAGACATTTTAGTTAAATCCCGGAAATATCCCTCACCCCCCACTCTCAACCCCCACACCAGCACCCCACACTGTTATGCCCCTCACCCTTACCCCACCCCCATACAAACAACAAACAAGGCTGTTTTTGTCTCTCGCGACAGCTGTTCCGACGTTTTGTTTCATAAGGTTTCACGTCAAGTGTTTTCGTGGCTTATTAATTACAAAGTTTCTGGAGGTAAGTTACATGGCAACATTTTTTTTCGTTTGAAACAGAAGCAAACAACATGCAGAAAGAAACCTGGGATGCTTTTTGCGCGTGAGTACATTACAATTATTTCAGTGTTTCTCGGTGTCGTGTGGTAGAGCGTACAAAAGCTGACTCGAAAGTCTCGAGTTCGGATCCAAGGCTCAGCTCTGATGGGGACCTGTCTCACGTAATAGGGAAAGTAAAAGCGTCTGGGCATAGTGCTGACCACACTATCCCTTCATATGACGAGTTCACAGAAACCGATGAACTCTACTGTACCTGTCCTATGTAAATTAAGACACCAACTGGTAACTGCAACTTACTTTTCACTTTCTCGTTGAATGTTTTTTTTTTAATTCTCTTTTTGAAAAATTAAAACCTAAAAAAAATCTCAGAAAAAACCCAGAAAAGAGAATGTTCAATCTTGTAATCTGCCTGCTTGATCTACTCGCGACTAGAAAACAATAGAAAGATCATCATGGGAGATAACTCCCAACTAGCTGTGTATACAGTAGAGTTAATGAACTTGCTTGTCCCGGACACGACTACAGAGGAATGGATAAATCAACACAATGGGCTGATTCTTCCACTGTTATCTTGACTTCTGTGTCCCTACGTCACTTCCGCCAGACTAGAACACTTGACACGTGGTGTGGATCACGTGATTAAGTTCGGACTGGGATTTGAACTATACTGAACCAGAACACACGTATGTGCTGCATGATGACAGACGTGTGATGGACGATGATAGGCGTGTGATGGACTTGTCAGTTGTTTTAGTGAAGTAGAAATAGACATGCACAATAACACCATTCTATTTAATCGTTCGTAATACAAGATGGCTGCCTCGCAACATCCACTGTACAAAATGGCTGCCGCGCAACATCCACTGTACAAAATGGCCGCCTATCAACGTTTATTTACAAGATGGCCGCCTAGCAACATCCACTGGACAAGTTAGCAAATAACATCAACATTTGTGGGTTTTTTTTTCATGTGTTCTCGGTTACAGTAGAACAGATGACGTCACTTCCGCCTTCACTACCCCTCCCCCCCACTATTCTTATATAAACTTTAGCTGTCCTTCTAAGTAATTTCTCCTACCAAGTTGGCAATCAATGTAATCACAGAACAATCTGTTATCATCTATTGTCCTATTTCAGGTGAAGTTGAACTCAAATGCCAAACTGGCAAGGTGAATCTCTGTACAAATGTGGCCAGGATTACGGATGTTGACGTCATAATTAGTGGCACGCTGTCGCTAAACTTGGTAGAAAAATGAAGCCTTGAATCTCCTCGCTGAAAACGTTTAATTAGATCCAGGAACGGACAATTATCCTTGGTGTGGGATGGATTCGATCCCGCCACGGTGTTCCTGGGTGTAGCTGGTGTTGGATTGTATTCTGACGCTAAGCGACATAGACTCAAGATAGTGATATACACACCAGATGGTGTCATGGACACCATAAGGTGACATACACACCAGATGGTGACATAGACACCAGAAGGTGACATACACACCAGATGGTGTAATAGACACCATATGGTGACATAGACACCAGAAGGTGACATAGACACCAGAAGGTGACATAGACACCAAATGGTGACATGGACACCAGATGATAGTCTGTTTTTTTAACCGGTTTTTTTAGTTGTCGAATGTTGAGTCTGGCAGTGGGTGACACCAAAAAATGTTTACCGGCATTATGTTTTAACCGGAAGTTAGAGTTTACCGGCATTATGTTTTAACCGGAAGTTAGAGTTTACCGGAAGTGTGTTTTAGCCGGAAGTAAGGATTAACCAGTAATCGAAGCTTATCTGGCAATGTAATTCTACCATAAAAATGATGTAACGATTGTAACAGTTTAATACTTGTAACAATACGAGGCTAATATGAGAAACAGGGAAATTGTTTCTGTGGGGAAGAGATGGAGTTGACTAAGTTAATAAAGACACACTGGGTAGGACACAGTGAGGGAGACAGGACGGTAGGACACGGTGAGGGAGACAGGACATAATGGGTAGGACACGGTGAGAGAGACAGGACACAAAGAGTCCCGCATTGACCGTATCGTCAAAAAAAATGAGTATCCTCCTCTCTCTTCCCCCCTCCTCCCCCACTCCCCCCCAACGAGAAATCTGGCCAAGACGGGCGATCTATCAGGATGGTTAATGCAAAAAATAAACACGACCGGAAACACTTTGCTCCTCTGGGAAATCATCGCGAGTTCTAGTGTCAGGGTTCGGGTTCAGGATCGGGTTCGGGCCCCAGGGTTTAAAACTTATGGTCTGT